AATTTATAATGACTCCAACAACTTTTGTACCCACTACAACAAAGTCTTCACCAACTCCAACCACTACAGCACCAAAGTGAGAGTAGGTAAGAGGTTTGTACTATAAGATGTAAACTGAAATTTTTCTCTGATCTATTCGCCGATGCCTTCAGTTTGCAATCTTCCTTCTATTTATAGAGGCTCGGGACTTTCTCATTTGAATTTCATTTCTTCTTCCTTTGAGTTTCATCTTCTTTTTATTTGTGGCCGACATCTTTTTCAAAAGTGATCGGCTCCTTTCTCAAAAGTCGTTTGGATCTTGTCCGCATGGTCCTCCGAATGGATCAAAAGTAGATTCGGATGATTCTGCTGACTCGTCAATTTTGTCGATTTCTTCTTTCTTATCTGTCTTTTGTAAATAATCCAGATATTTTTTGAGTAGCCTTGGATCTTGCATCATCTTTTTCATCAAAAAGTCATTTGAAGTGGCTTCGGATACCATTTCGGTATCTTTTTCTTTCTTTATTGGAGTAGTGGTTGGAGTTGGTGCTGTAGTGGTTGGAGTTGGTGAAGACTTTGTTGTAGTGGGTACAAAAGTTGTTGGAGTAGCTGTTGGTTTAGTCCATTTGAGTTTATCTCCGGTAGTTAGGAATCTAATAACATTTACTTGATCTCCGAATTCTTGGTTGAACCCTGTCCACCATTTAATTTTGAATTTTCTAACCAATGACATTGGAAGTGATTTTTCAAGCTCTTGATGAATTTTGAAACTCCAGCAAAATATCCACGGGACTTTGAACTCCATATGGAATAAAATTGGTCTTGTATATTCTTCCCCCTTTGCTCTCTTTAGATACGTTTGAAATCCCATAAGCACATTTGGAGGTAGTATCTCTGGTTGTGGGCCAAACCATTTCCACCAGTGATTGAATCAAATTGGAAATTCTCTGCTGCAATTTTCTTTGAACGTGAAGAACCATGAATGATTGAATGGTCTAAAAAGGAAAGCACGATACCATGCCATTTTATAATCTTGATATGTAAATCCATCTGGAATGAACCTTACTGAAAAGGATTTTTTAGAATAAAGAGAAGTCCATTCATTTGGAGAACAAACTTTCTTTATTATGCATTTTGAGTGGCTAATCATATTTGGGTTTTTTCTGTCTGGAATTGGAAATATTTCTACAGATTGAGTATCTGTAAGAATTAATTCATAATAATCCAAATTTTTTGAAGGATCATCTGGTTGCCAAAAACACTTTTGAGGAAAGATTCTCTGGGTAATTTGATTGAGTGTAGAATATAAAGGTACTTCTTGAAATTTGGTTAAAGTGATATGTTGAGTAAATGGCTTGGTAAAATAAGTATTTTCATTGGATTTCTCTGGGGTCTTTGGAATCTGTTGAAGAGGTTTTATTTGAGAAGAAGTTGGAGTACAAGCAGCTTGACTGTTAGTCAATGCTGGAAAATCTGATAAAAGTTGGAATCTATTTTGAGTAACAGGAGTAAGACTCATCTCATAATCTTGAGGAGTCTTTGGCCGGGAATTTCCTGCTTTTGAATTCATAATCCTGCAATATTAATAAACAATATCTTTAAGTTGGTCAGATAATTGTTTATTTTGCTTTCTGTGATACTGAATAAATTCCTCACTTCTCTCAATTCTTTTCATAACTTTGATTCGAATGGTATTTCTCTGAATCTCTCTTTGAATAAGAAAGGCTCTTTCTTGGGGAGTGATAGTAGCATAAGGGCTTTTTCGAATGTATATAGTGTCATATTTAGGAATTTGATGAGCTGGAATACTCTGTCTGCCATAGCTGGTTTGGGCAAAATATTGATATCCTCTGGATTGGATATCTTTTTCTTTGTTTTGGAGTTTGGGAGAATCCCTTTGAACTCTCAAATAATTGGTATATTCTCGTTCTTCAATTGGAGTCACCAATTCACGATCCATGTCCTTGTAGGAATTCTCTAGTAAGAAAATCTGGTAAAGAATTATTTTCTCCTTTGATAAATTCTATTTCAAAATCAAATACAGATAAAATAGCTTGCTATCTAGCAAATATTTGCTTTGAAACTATATTTTGAACATCTTTTTGTAAAATTTCTTTAGCAGATTTACAATCTATTCTTATTAAAAAAAATTTTATTATATAAATCATCTTGAAATTTTGATATACGTAAAACTATTGATAAAATTTCTTTTTTAATAGTTGAATAATTTTTTTGAGGATCAGACCAAGTTCCTGAATGAAATCTAACTAACTCCTCTTTTGACTCTTCTAATTTTTGTTTTAATATTCCTCTATATCCTAATTCTGATGCATCTGTTTCAACTATCATGAATGCTTTAGGATGTGGTAAACATAAGCATGGTAAAGATTTAATTTTTTCTTTTAAATATCTTATTTTTTGAGTATGTTCTTCTGTCCATGGCATTGGATTTTTCTTTAATCTATTGAATAATATAGAGCATTCTTGTCTTAATTTGGGAAAGAAATCTGCTATATAATTTAAGCATCCTAAAAATCTTTGTAATTGATTCTTCTCTTTTATTTCATCTGGAAATTTAGTAGTGAATTCTAAAGCTCTATTAATTGGTTTGATTGTGCCTTGGTAATTATCGTGTCCTAAAAATCTTATTTTTGTTTGGAATAATTTCATTTTTGGTGCAGAAACTACTAATCCATTTTTCTTAACTATTTTTAAAAATATATTTAAATGTTTAAAATGCTGTTCTAATGATTCAGAAAATATTAATACATCATCAATATAAACTATACTAAATAAACTGTAAGGATTAAAGATGTCATTCATTATATTTTGAAATTCTGATGGTGCATTTTTTAATCCAAATGGCATTACATTCCATTCATAATGTCCAAAGGGTGTTGTAAATGCTGTTTTGTATCTATCTTTTGGATTTATTAATATTTGCCAATATCCTGATTTTAAATCAAATTTTGAAAATATTTTTGCTTTAAATAATCTATTAAGCAAATCTTTTTTATTTGGAATTGAATATCTAATCCATTGCAATACTTTATTTAATGGTTTGTAATTTATTACTAATCTTGGAACTCCTCGTTCTTTTTCTGCTTGATTCATGACATAAAATGCAGCACAACTCCATGGTGATTTAGAATGGGTTATTAATTTTTTATCCATTAATGCCTTTATTTCTTTTTTACAGAATTCTAATAATTCAAAATGCATTTGTATAGGTCTAGCCTTTGTTGGAATATTTTTCTCATTGAATCCTGTTTCATAGGGTAACTCAACCATATGTTGTTTTCTATCCCAAAAAGCATTAGGAATGTCAGCACATACTTCTTGTTGTAATAATTTTTCTAGTTCTAAAATTCTTTTTTGTATCTTTTCTTCTTTTAATTGTTCTTCAATTTTTAAATAAGATTTTTCTTCTTTAATATAATTTATTTGTTGTTGTACTTTAGTAATACTATTTATTGTTTTATAAATAGAGGAGGTTTGTAATATCTGTAATTCTCTTTGTTTTACTGGGGTTAGAAATCTAAATATAATTGTTTTTACCATTATATTTATTGAAATTCCTTCATGGCTTACAAAAAATGGATATATTTGAATTAAAAAGGGTGTTCCTAATATTACATCACAATTTATATTTTTTACAATTATAAAATTATGTCTAATACAATATTCATTATTACATATTGATCCTTTTGTAAATTTATATGTTACTTCTAAATTTTCTCCATTTGCTGCCATTAATTTTTCTTTTGTTTTTTCACAATATTTAGTTGGAATTATTCCTTCTTTAATGCAACTTGTATCAGCTCCACTATCTATTAGAGCTACATATGTTTCTTTAAAATCTTCTACTGTGATAGTTACTAAAGCAAACCATTTTTGGAATGTCATTCTTTCTATAATATTTATATATTGAAGTTCATTTGTAGGTTTTTCTGATATATTTATTTCTTCTGTTTTAGAATTAGAAGTTGAAGGTTGATTTTCTAATAATGTTAATTTTGCTTCTATATCTAAATCTTTTGTTTTTAACTCTATAATTTCTTTCTGTAATTGTTTTACTTGTATTTTGAGATTATTAATTTCTGTTTGAAGATCTTTAGTAGTTTCTTTTTTCATTATGTTTATATTTGGATATTTATCTATTAATTTTGAGATACTAAAAGGTTCTATTATTTTTGGCATTTTATCTTCTTGAATGATTAAACTCTTTAATCTTTCCAAGTATTCCTTTTTAGCTATTGGATCTTCTATTTTTTCTATCATGTCTAATAAAAATTCTTTATCTTCTTTTTTAGTTATAACATTTATATATTTTGGAGTGCAATTACAATTTTCTTCATTATCTGAACTAGATATATCATTATAATAATCTTCTTCAGAACTTTGATTTTTTTCATTTATTAATAAATTAATTAATTTATTTTTAATTTCTTCTTCATCTGCACATATTTCTGTAATTTTTTCTTTTAATTTACATTTGTTTGCTTTATGACCTATTTTTCCACATTTATAACAAACAATTTTTCTTTTAATAAACTTTCTCTTTCTTTCTCTTTCTTTCTCTTTCTTTCTGGTCTTTCTAGTTTATCTTCTTTAGGTCTTTTGTATTTTAATTTTTTATTATATTTTTTAACTTTCTTTTTGTATGCTGATGGTGATTTAATTCTTTTAATTCCAAATGCATCACAAAATGATCATACTTCCTTTGTTTTAGAACCATATTTTATTTGTAATCTTAATTCGGAACATAACATTAATCCTTCTTTTTTAACAAATGCAAATAATTGTCCAAAAGTAATATTCTCAAATGAAATAACATCTGTTCCCATTTCTTTTTGCAAACTATCCATTATTCTTTGTGAAAATAAACTTGGTAATCCTGTTATGAATCTTTCTTTCCCAAATGAAGCATTACAATCTGGTCTTCTTTTTTTTTTTTTTTTTAATTGAATATGATCTTTATTGGCAATGAAAAGAGAAAATACACAGACCGTGTGACTAACCTATCCTGAGACCGTACAGACTCTCACATACGGAGTTGACAGCCTATCTAACTGCAAAAGAGTCCGAACTTTAGAAGGGAGAGCTATTTCACTCAAGAAGCGGGCATCCGCTCGTAGATCCGACGAGGCCAACGCGTCGGCAACCGCATTTGCTTCTCTGAACGTGTGAACCAACGACACCCCCAATTTTGCCACCAAGCTCCGAATATGCCTAATCGTGTTACATAACGGCCAGGAAGACGTCATCTTAGAGGACACGAGATGCACTAAAGTACTAGAATCCACTTCCGCTATGACCCCCGTGAGATTGCTATCCTGGCAATAACGAAGACCCTCCAGCAAAGCCAACGCCTCTGAGGAGAGAGCGTCTTTCTCTCCAAACTCCTTATAAAATGCAAACACTAAATTACCCTCAGCCGAGCGCACCACCCCTCCACCACTTGAACGCCCGCGTACCACACTAGCATCAGTGTTGAGTTTCACCGCCTGCCCTGTAGGTTTTGCCCAAGGAAAGGCACGAAGCTGTACCAATTTTCCCTTGACCTTACCGAACTTCACCCAGTCACAATCTGTGTCCCCTTTGAAAAACTCGAACTTGAGCAGCCCCCCCTGCCCAACTGCTCGACAAATGCGCACACCTGGTCGATTACCTGATCTGACGACATACTCACCCCCTCAAAGCGGGCCTTGTTACGGCCCTTCCAAATAAACCACAAGATTAAAAGAGGGAGAATGACACGAATATGATTCTGTGAGACAAACCGGTGAGACAAGAGCCAACATGATAGTCTCGATGCCACCCCACTCCCCTGGACTACCAGCCCAAAGCGGCAGGAGAAGTGCCGCCAGACCCTGCTCGCTAAAGGTCCCGAGACAAAAAGATGGTGTCCCGTTTCTGGAGCGAGGCCACAACAGTAACACTTTGACCTCAATCCTCTCCCTTGAAGGAGATCATCCAAGGGGAGCCAACCACGCAACAACCTCCACGCCAAGAAGGATACCTTCAGGGGGACCACCGAGCTCCAGACCAATGAATCAACAACCGATCGATTGTGCGTTGAGCGAAGAACGTCCCAAGCTGAAGATACAGTAAAGCTCCCCGAAGGTGACGCTGCCCAAATCATCTGGTCTTGCATATTGGGGAATATTCGCAGCTCCATGACCTTCGACACTAAGTGCCCCAGAAGAAGCCGTCTGAGCCACTGCTCATCCCAACCATCAGAAAGAAAAAATTCCCCTACCAACCTGTGAGACTTAGGGCCTGGCACCAAGCTAGCGAGCGGAACATCAGTGCACCACCTGTCCTGCCAGAAGTCAACTAAGCCCTCCCCCAGACACCACCGGATATTCCCCTCCGCAAACCCCCTCACCTCTACCAACCGGCGCCAAAATGGGGACGGGCGGTCAACTGAAACTAGAAGAGGATGCCCCCCTCTGACATACTTGACGTGCATGAACTCTGCCCAAATGGACGCCCGTTCCCGCAACTTCCACTAGAGCTTACAAGAGAAAGCCTTTGTGACGTCCTCAAAGGAGCGAAACCCCAGGCCCCCTTCCTCGACCGGACGGCAAACCTTATCCCACGCCGCCCAGTGGGTCCGTTTGCTATCAATAGAGGTATCCCACAAAAAAGCATTGCACACTCGGCCTAAACGCAGCAGCACCGCCTTCGGGGGTTGGAGCACCTGGAGTAAGTAGACTGGAAGGGAACACAGGACACTTCATAAAAGGACCATCTTCCCCCCCATAGATAGCATCTTTGAGCTCCAATGGTATAGCTTTTGGCGAACCTTGCCCAGTAACGCATCAAACGCTGCACATGTAACCCTGCCGCGAATCAGCGGCACCCCTAGATACCTGAACGGAAACCCCTGGCACTGGTACCCTAGGGTCGTGCTAACAAGGGTCCGCTGGGTGTCCGTCACCCTGGCCGATGCGTAAAAGGCACTCTTAGCAATATTCACCTTCTGGCCAGAACAACTTTGGTAGAGCTGCAAAAAATCCTTAAGGGACACCAACGCGTCCTGCGAGCACCGAGTAAAGATGATCATATCATCCGCAAAGGCTAAATACGGCACTTTCGACCCAGCAGATACAAAGTATCTACTGTCCTTGGAATCAAAAAGCCTTTGCAGCCCTCTCCCAAGAAAATCCGCCACGAATAAGAAGAGCACAGGAGAAAGAGGGTCACCCTGTCGCACCCCCTGATATGACTTCACAAAGCCCGTTGGTTCCCCATTAACTAGGATCGAGAACCAAGTGTTAGAAAACGTTCGAAAGAGCAAATCCACTACTACCTCTTCAAACCCATACTGCCTGAGCAAAAAAAGTAAAAACGACCAGTCAGCCCGATCATATGCCTTCTCCATGTCGAGCTTCAAAATCAAATTCGGGTCAATCAACCTCCTATCCAAGTCTAAAATCAGCTCCTGGGCCAATAGAACATTGTCCACTATCCCACGCCCTGGAACAAACCCTGTTTGCCATGGTGAAATGAGCTTCGGGAGGAGCTTACTGATCCTGACCGCCAATATCTTAGACACAACCTTAGAACTTACATTACAAAGACTAAGAGGCCGAAACTCCCGCCAGTGGGATGCACCGTCCACCTTTGGGATGAGCACCACCATAGAATGTGACCAGCTCCTGGGTTGCTCCATACCCTGAAAGAAGTCCTGGATAGCCATAAGCAAGTCATCCTTAACCATGTCCCAGCAGCTTTGAAAAAATCCTGCTCCAAACCCATCCGGACCCGGAGCGCTCTGGGTGTCCATTCCAAACACTACCTCATGGATTTCCTCCATCGTAGGAAGCTGTTTCATGATCTCGTTATCCTCCTGGGTGACTCTAGGAACCTCAAAAGGCAGCTCAGTGAGGGGCTGCACCTGGCGGTTGGATGCAAACAAGTCCGAAAAATAGGATATCGCTGAGTTCTTAATCTCCTGCAGGTCTTCGTGCCATCCCCCCTCCTCTTTCCTAATACGGGAAATGAAATTCGAGTTTCGACGCTGACGGACCCAAGAGTGAAAAAATGCAGTATTAGCATCCCCCGCCTGTAACCATTTAATACCTGCCTTCTGATGCCAAAACTCACACTCTATAGAAAGTGCCCGATTGTATCTCGCTCTGGCCTCATGAAGATGAATCTTTGACTCCTCACTTCTAACCAAATCGTACTCCGCCTCCGTCTGTTTTAGCTCCTGTTCCGCCTCCGCCACCTTAGAAGAAACATTACCAAACACAACACGGTTCCATTGCTTCAATGCATCTCGCACTGCTTTGAGCTTGTTGTACCATCCCCATGCCAGAGAATCTGGTCTTCTTAATACATTTGTTAAGAACATATCTTTATACCATCTAAAGTCTGTTAATGTAGGACATCTTAAATTTGTTAAAAATGTTTTATTTGAATTTAATTCTTCTTTTGGATTTCCTATGAAATACATTACTATTGTTACTATTAGGAATTCTGCAGCATCTGATTGTATTTGAATATTTCCTTGATCATCTTCAATTTCTTGGGTATGTTCTAATATTGATAATTTATCTTGTAATGTTAGAGCATTATCCCACCAATTTTTTAATTGTCCAGTGAATCCTGAAACTAATAATGTTGCAATATTTCTCTCTTGAATATTTTTAATTTTATAAGCAAGTCTAGCCATTCCCATTTCTTGCAAATTATTTAATACTTCATATTCAGCTTTGCCATCTATATTCCATTCATAAATTGAATCTCCATCATATTTAGTGGTACGAAATTTTGATCTTTCTTCGTATTGAATATCTGGAGGACTAGGTCTTGGATAATAGTTTTTTGTACTTATCATTTTCCAATTTTTATTGGTATTATTATTTATCCTTTGTCTCCTTATTCTATTTAATTGATTATCGCCTTCTTCTTCAAATTGAGTTTCTATGGGTACTAATATATTTTCTTCTATATCTGAATTTATTAATTCTTCACTTGAACTTTCTAATTCCTCAGTTGAATTTTCTTCTATAATCTGGTCCATAGTATTAATTTTAGGGGTTTGAGGCTTGGATAAAGTCTGTAATGATTGTGATATTCTATTTAATATATTATCTGTAGTATTTATTTTTTGAGTATTAATATTTTGGATTAACTCTTGTTCTTTTTCTCTTGTCAAACTTCTAGGTTGGAAATGTGGTGCTGAAATATCATTTGGAAACTTTAAATCTGGTTTCTTTAATGTATCTAGTTTTGTATTTAATATTTCCATATGTTGAGATATTGTATGAAGAATTTGATTTGTATAATTATTTTGTTGATATACTTTTTTAATATCTTCTAAATTTAGTGTATTATTTGTGCTTGATTCAGCTTCCCTACCCTTTTTAAAAGGTGAGGCTATTACTTCTCCTTGTCCTATATTTATTTTTACTTCTTGTAATGGAGGATGTATTGAGGTTATAATTTGATCGTCTTTTAACTTCCATTTTTTATATAAATTAGTTTGAACATTTATTTGAGATGTATTATATATATCATGTATTCCTAATTTTGACATATAAAATGTTAGCCATGTAAAGAAAGGGAAATCAAATTTTTGTTTATCTAATTCATTTTTCCATTCTATTATTAATTTATTCTTGTATTCAGATCCTAATTGGAAAAACCAAATTCTTTTTTCTGTATTTTCTTCATCTTCAAAATCTTCTTGTAAATATTTATGATTTATTTTATAAGGTTTACTTATAACATTTATTTCTCCTCTCATTTGTGAATGTGTTGGAGAATATTCTGTTTGCTTTTGATTTTGATTTATTACTTCTGGAACTGGGGTTTTATATTTAAAGGTTGAAGTATTTTCTATGGGAAAATTTATTTCAGTGGATTCATAATTTGAATGTCTAGCTGGTAACCATGAGTAACTTGAACAAGGTCTTTCCCTTAATGAAGCAAATCTTATTAAAGTATTTCCATCAGGTTTTTCTATAATATCTTCTGCAGTAGTTTGTTCAATAGTTCTTGCTATTTATGGATTTTTTATTTCAAATTCACTTGGTATAGTTATTTCATTCCATTTTAATCTTTTCGGTGTATAAGTTGTAGGTCTATCTGCGTCTACTTGTAATAAAGTTGTCGCTTCCTTAAGTGTTGGGGTCATTATAAATTTAGGATTTAAATGCGACGATAAAGGTCTATAATATATTCTGTATATTATTGCAAAATTCTTTGTGTGTTTTTCAAATTCATTTCCTTGTAGATGAATATCTAATATTACAGAATTCAGAATATGTGGATCGGTTAAATCTATTGAAAAATTTGGAGCACAGTTAAAATATATGGGTCCATTACAAACATTTGTTTGAATCATAGAAAATAAAGAAGTTTTATATCGTTTGAGTCTTGTGTCTCTTAATGCTAAATATATTGGAGCATCTACTCTTAGATGGAATAAAGGTTTTACAGCAATTTGTATTAAACCTATATGAATATATCGATATCCTTTACTTAAATATTTTTGAATTGTACTATGATTTAATAATGGAATTGATTGATATTCTTCTTGAATAGATATCGTTTCTTCATGAGTTTTAACTGATAAAGCGGTTTTGAAATCTAAAGGGCCTATTCTATAAATATGTTCTATTTTTTCTTCTGGAATAGTCCAATCTGAATTATTTATAGGCATATGATATTCATGACTTTGTACTATATTAGCTTGCTTTGAATTAGATCCTATTTTAAATTGTCTAAGAAATGCAGTCGTAGTGTGGCTCTGATACCACTTCTACCCAGGCAATATAAACTTGTAATAAGCATAAATATTTGGACTTACAATGAAATTGAGTAGACAACGGAAGCTTTGAGCAAAATAAATCCTTGATTCTTTTATTGAATAAGCTTGATAATAGCTAGAGTACAGCAGTTGTTTGAAGTAGGTAAGAGTAGGTTTGAAGTAAGTGAGAGTAGGTAAGAGGTTTGTACTGTAAGATGTAAACTGAAATTTTTCTCTGATCTATTCGCCGATGCCTTCAGTTTGCAATCTTCCTTCTATTTATACAGGCTCGGGACTTTCTCATTTGAATTTCATTTCTTCTTCCTTTGAGTTTCATCTTCTTTTTATTTGTGGCCGACATCTTTTTCAAAAGTGATCGGCTCCTTTCTCAAAAGTCGTTTGGATCTTGTCCGCATGGTCCTCCGAATGGATCAAAAGTAGATTCGGATGATTCTGCTGACTCGTCAATTTTGTCGATTTCTTCTTTCTTATCTGTCTTTTGTAAATAATCCAGATATTCTTTGAGTAGCCTTGGATCTTGCATCATCTTTTTCATCAAAAAGTCATTTGAAGTGGCTTCGGATACCATTTCGGTATCTTTTTCTTTCTTTATTGGAGTAGTGGTTGGAGTTGGTGCTGTAGTGGTTGGAGTTGGTGAAGACTTTGTTGTAGTGGGTACAAAAGTTATTGGAGTAGCTGTTGGTTTAGTCCATTTGAGTTTATCTCCGGTAGTTAGGAATCTAATAACATTTACTTGATCTCCGAATTCTTGGTTGAACCCTGTCCACCATTTAATTTTGAATTTTCTAACCAATGACATTGGAAGTGGTTTTTCAAGCTCTTGATGAATTTTGAAACTCCAGCAAAATATCCACGGGACTTTGAACTCTATATGGAATAAATTGGTGACTCCAATTGAAGAACGAGAATATACCAATTATTTGAGAGTTCAAAGGGATTCTCCCAAACTCCAAAACAAAGAAAAAGATATCCAATCCAGAGGATATCAATATTTTGCCCAAACCAGCTATGGCAGACAGAGTATTCCAGCTCATCAAATTCCTAAATATGACACTATAGACATTCGAAAAAGCCCTTATGCTACTATCACTCCCCAAGAAAGAGCCTTTCTTATTCAAAGAGAGATTCAGAGAAATACCATTCGAATCAAAGTTATGAAAAGAATTGAGAGAAGTGAGGAATTTATTCAGTATCACAGAAAGCAAAATAAACAATTATCTGACCAACTTAAAGATATTGTTTATTAATATTGCAGGATTATGGATTCAAAAGCAGGAAATTCCCGGCCAAAGACTCCTCAAGATTATGAGATGAGTCTTACTCCTGTTACTCAAAACAGATTCCAACTTTTATCAGATTTTCCAGCATTGACTTACAGTCAAGCTGCTTGTACTCCAACTTCTTCTCAAATAAAACCTCTTCAACAGATTCCAAAGACCCCAGAGAAATCCAATGAAAATACTTATTTTACCAAGCCATTTACTCAACATATCACTTTAACCAAATTTAAAGAAGTACCTTTATATTCTACACTCAATCAAATTACCCAGAGAATCTTTCCTCAAAAGTGTTTTTGGCAACCAGATGATCCTTCAAAAAATTTGGATTATTATGAATTAATTCTTACAGATACTCAATCTGTAGAAATATTTTCAATTCCAGACAGAAAAAACCCAAATATGATTAGCCACTCAAAATGCATAATAAAGAAAGTTTGTTCTCCAAATGAATGGACTTCTCTTTATTCTAAAAAATCCTTTTCAGTAAGGTTCATTCCAGATGGATTTACATATCAAGATTATAAAATGACATGGTATCGTGCTTTCCTTTTTAGACCATTCAATTATTCATGGTTCTTCACGTTCAAAGAAAATTGCAGCAGAGAATTTTCAATTTGGTTCAATCACTGGTGGAAATGGTTTGGCCCACAACCAGAGATACTACATCCAAATGTGCTTATGGGATTTCAAACGTATCTAAAAAGAGCAAAGGGGGAAGAATATACAAGACCAATTTTATTCCATATGGAGTTCAAAGTCCCGTGGATATTTTGCTGGAGTTTCAAAATTCATCAAGAGCTTGAAAAACCACTTCCAATGTCATTGGTTAGAGAATTCAAAATTAAATGGTGGATAGGGTTCAACCAAGAATTCGGAGATCAAGTAAATGTTATTAGATTCCTAACTACCGGAGATAAACTCAAATGGACTAAACCAACAGCTACTCCAACAACTTTTGTACCCACTACAACAAAGTCTTCACCAACTCCAACCACTACAGCACCAACTCCAACCACTACTCCAATAAAGAAAGAAAAAGATACCGAAATGGTATCCGAAGCCACTTCAAATGACTTTTTGATGAAAAAGATGATGCAAGATCCAAGGCTACTCAAAGAATATCTGGATTATTTACAAAAGACAGATAAGAAAGAAGAAATCGACAAAATTGACGAGTCAGCAGAATCATCCGAATCTACTTTTGATCCATTCGGAGGACCTTGCGGACAAGATCCAAACGACTTTTGAGAAAGGAGCCGATCACTTTTGAAAAAGATGTCGGCCACAAATAAAAAGAAGATGAAACTCAAAGGAAGAAGAAATGAAATTCAAATGAGAAAGTCCCGAGCCTGTATAAATAGAAGGAAAATTGCAAACTGAAGGCATCGGCGAATAGATCAGAGAAAAATTTCAGTTTACATCTTATAGTACAAACCTCTTACCTACTCTCACTTACTTCAAACTTACTCTTACCTACTTCAAACAACTGCTGTACTCTAGCTATTGTCAAGCTTATTCAATAAAAGAATCAAGGATTTATTTTGCTCAAAGCTTCCGTTGTCTACTCAATTTCATTGTAAGTCCAAATATTTATGCTTATTACAAATTTATATTGCCTGGGTAGAAGTGGTATCAGAGCCACACTACGACTGCATATTTAGACTTTGAATTTATTACTTTATTTGAATTACGTTTCTATTTTAATTTGGCTAATTCATGCATTTATGCTTATCTATTTTATTAAACTTTTACTGAAATCGTTGGTAAGACTTGATGCCTTGTAAGACCGTTGGTAAGTCCAGGATAGGATGTTCCAGGCATAGTGCTCGGTTGTTCCAAGTGAAGTAAAAATTTAATTAAATATAAAACATGGCTGCATTTCTTAGACAATTTAAAATAGGATCTAATTCAAAGCAAGCTAATATAGTACAATGTCATGAATATCATATGCCTATAAATAATTCAGATTGGACTATTCCAGAAGAAAAAATAGAACATATTTATAGAATAGGCCCTTTAGATTTCAAAACCGCTTTATCAGTTAAAACTCATGAAGAAACGATATCTATTCAAGAAGAATATCAATCAATTCCATTATTAAATCATAGTACAATTCAAAAATATTTAAGTAAAGGATATCGATATATTCATATAGGTTTAATACAAATTGCTGTAAAACCTTTATTCCATCTAGGAGTAGATGCTCCAATATATTTAGCATTAAGAGACACAAGACTCAAACGATATAAAACTTCTTTACTTTCTATGATTCAAACAAATGTTTGTAATGGACCCATATATTTTAACTGTGCTCCAAATTTTTCAATAGATTTAACTGACCCACATATTCTGAATTCTGTAATATTAGATATTCATCTACAAGGAAATGAATTTGAAAAACACACAAAGAATTTTGCAATAATATACAGAATATATTATAGACCTTTATCGTCGCATTTAAATCCTAAATTTATAATGACCCCAACACTTAAGGAAGAGACAACTTTATTACAAGTAGACGCAGATAGACCTACAACTTATACACCGAAAAGATTAAAATGGAATGAAATAACTATACCAAGTGAATTTGAAATAAAAAATCCACAAATAGCAAGAAATATTGAACAAACTACTGCATAAGATATTATAGAAAAACCTGATGGAAATACTTTAATAAAATTTGCTTCATTAAGGGAAAGACCTAGTTCAAGTTACTCATGGTTACCAGCTAGACATTCAAATTATGAATCCACTGAAATAAATTTTCCCATACAAAATACTTCAACCTTTAAATATAAAACCTCAGTTCCAGAAGTAATAAATCAAAATCAAAATCAAACAGAATATTCTCCAACACATTCACAAATGAGAGGAGAAATAAATGTTATAAGTAAACCTTATAAAATAAATCATAAATAAATCATAAATATTTACAAGAAGATTTTGAAGATGAAGAAAATACATCTTTAAAGTCCATATGGAGTTTTCATTTTAAAAAAAAACCAAATATGATTAGCCACTCAAAATGCATAATAAAGAAAGTTTGTTCTCCAAATGAATGGACTTCTCTTTATTCTAAAAAATCCTTTTCAGTAAGGTTCATTCCAGATGGATTTACATATCAAGATTATAAAATGGCATGGTATCGTGCTTTCCTTTTTAGACCATTCAATCATTCATGGTTCTTCACGTTCAAAGAAAATTGCAGCAGAGAATTTCCAATTTGGTTCAATCACTGGTGGAAATGGTTTGGCCCACAACCAGAGATACTACCTCCAAATGTGTTTATGGGATTTCAAACGTATCTAAAAAGAGCAAAGGGGGAAGAATATACAAGACCCCATTCAGGTCCAGAATTAGGAGTTTGCTATTTGATGCCTTTCGAGAAGCAGCTCGGGTTATCCTAACAAGTGGCCTTTCAGTTTGCACTGAAAAAAAAAAGAATGTTACATAAAGCATTCCTTTAACATTGACTAGTGGATGATAATATTAAAACAAAATGTACCATGTACCATGTCCTGTTTCTACATCCATACCTCCTTGGACCTCAGTCTCCTTTCCCAATTTATTCTCATTCAAAAAGGAAGCATAATTGAAGGGGTCGGCCAGTTTACTCATTGCAATCTCCAAGGCCATAAACTTCCTAGCAATCCTAGCATGAGTCTGATATACAAATATTAGTTGGATGCAATAAACTAGCATGAGTCTGACAACAAGCATTTGTGTACTTACTGATTTAGTAATGTTGGGTGCGCGTCCCATTGCCCAACATTGTATAAATTTCAATGTATAAACACCACAACTTGATGTATCCTTCTGTCGTGAATTATGATTTACAAGATAAAAAGTCCAGCTCCAATCCTTATTCAAGAATTTATTCAAAATTCATACCTAAGCCTCAAAAAAAAAAAAACCAAGGGAAAAAAGGTCATCTTACTATATTTCATATTAATATAAGCTGTAATTTAATATAAGCTGTAATTTTTCTTGTAATACCAGAAGATGTATTATTCCATCATAGAATGTTGTGTCATTTTGCAGAGGATCAACAATGTAGATTTCTTTTTCCGTGACATGAACGATCATCGGAAACCAATGTGATTTATGAAGTATGGCGAAGAAAATCTGCAATATAAGACAATAAACACTATCCAATAAAAAAATTATCCTATCTTATAATAACCATGAAATGAGTACACAGATGTAAATTAAAATAATTGCTGCCTTTTACTTTATAGATGACAAAACAATGAAAGTTATTGTATACCTTTTCAGCATTTTTCATTAATTCCTCCAGCTTTTCAAGATGGAAAGCCTTCACAAGGCTTTCTTTTATGGATGGAAATTCTATGACCATATAGTGCTGCAATGAAATGAATGACAAGCACGAGTCAAATATAAATTTTGCGATTCAGAAAACTATATGTCACATTGTTGATCCTCTGCAAAATGACACAACATTCTATGATGGAATAATGCATCTTCTGGTATTACAAGAGAAATTACAGCTTATATTAAATTACAGCTTATATTAATATGAAATATAGTAAGATGACCTTTTTTCCCTTGATTTTTTTTTTTTTTGGGCTTAGGTATGGATTTTGAATAAATTCTTGAATAAGGATTGGAGCTGGACTTTTTATCTTGTAAATCATAATTCACGACAGAAGGATGCATCAAGTTGTGGTGTTTATACATTGAAATTTATACAATGTTGGGCAATGGGACGCACACCCAACATTACTAAATCAGTAAGTACACAAATGCTTGTTGTCAGACTCATGCTAGTTTATTGCATCCAACTAATATTTGTATATCAGACTCATGCTAGGATTGCTAGGAAGTTTATGGCCTTGGAGATTGCAATGAGTAAACTGGCAGACCCCTTCAATTATGCTTCCTTTTTGAATGAGAATAAATTGGGAAAGGAGACTGAGGTCCAAGGAGGTATGGATGTAGAAACAGGACATGGTACATGGTACATTTTGTCTTAATATTATCATCCACTAGTCAATGTTAAAGGAATGCTTTATGTAACATTCTTTTTTTTTTTCAGTGCAAACTGAAAGGCCACTTGCTAGGATAACTCGAGCTGCTTCTCGAAAGGCTTCAAATAGCAAACTCCTAATTCTGGACCTGAATGGGGTGATTTTAGCCAAGAATTCCAATGACAGATATGACTTTAAATTCAGGCCATATACCCATGAATTTTTGAAATTCTGCTTCTCATGTTTTAATGTGGCAATTTGGTCATCAAAACAATGGTATGTGTCGACCTATATTTTAGTTAATTGATTTATATGTTACACCTTCTTTTTTTTTCCCCCTTATTTTTCTGCAATTCTTCTTTTTTCCCAGGCATAATGTTCAACGTGTAATAAAAAATCTGCCACATTTTAAATGGGAGTTTGTTTGGGTGAGACTTCATTTGTCATTATCAGAATTTGTAGAATCAGTCTCTTAGCAAAATTTTGCAGAATCAGTCTCTTATTTTTGGGTAATGTTCCATTGGATACTGCTGTATTTTACAGAATCAGGCTCACTGCACTGTAGTCGAAACCAAAACTAAAGAAAATTCAGAAAAAAAGATTATGTTTAAGGACTTGAGGAAAGTTTGGAAAGATTTTGAGCAATATGGTCTGTCTAACACATTGTTAGTCGATGATTCTCCATATAAATCATTCCTTAATCCTGTAAGTATACTTGTTATGTGACATATTCTTGTACTCTGTTCTGGATGATGCTCTAATTTTTTTCCTTTGCTGAATTTTTTAGAGATACAATGCCATCTTCCCCGAATCTTATGCATTTTTAAGTGAAAAGGATAATTATCTGGGTGAGAAGCATCTTTCTTGGCTTTGTGGTTTTCATTATTGAATTAAGCTGAAATTATTCAAGTAACTTGAAAAGAAATATCTGCAGATCCTAAAGGAGAATTTGCTCAGCACTTGAAGAAATTGGCTGAAGTTGATAACGTAGAAGAATTCATCAAACAAAATCCATTTGGTCAACCGCCCATAATACAAGAAAGTGACGAATGGCACTTTTACATGAAGGCTCTTAATGAAAGCTGATTTGCGGATTGAAAGCTGGGACGAATGGCAGTGATGAAAATAGAGAATTATTTCAATGGATTATCTAAGGACAGCGGCTGTGAGGGAAGATAAAGAAGTGAAGGTTCTTGGGATGAAGGACTTGTTCAAAGTTCAGATGTTTCAATGGAGAGAAGCTCTTGGAGAGGAAGTGAATGGGCAGTGAAGAGATGATCAGTCCGAGAGAGAGAAAATGGTAAATTACAGGTTTCATCATCAGTACCAGGTGGCCGGCAGAGCTTTTACTGAAGTTGGATTGCTGGAGCCAGCCCATTTAACACCTGCACAAGTGAACTTTAATTTATTGTTTTGTTATTGTTATGTTTAAAAAAATTAAAATTCTGATTCATATTCACTTGTTTATGAACAGATTGGAGATACTTCATCTGCTCAATTCTGATTCATGTTCACTTGTTTATGAACAGATTGGAGATATTTCATCTGCTAGCCAACATGACGATGAGCCTGGCTCTAAATACCAAAAGAACGGGTGACGGATCCCGGAATGGCCGGACTATTAGGCTCCGGTTAAAAACCTATATTGCTTTCTTAGAAGTTATTAAAAATCTTATTACAGAAATTCTTTTTATTCTTATATTGAAGTGGTGCTTATTTCTCTCAATATAAAGGGCTTCTAGTTTCCTTAGATTTCCATAGTCAAGAGGAAGGTAATTTAGAAGACATCCAGCAGGATATCTTAAATAACCTCTGGAATAGCAGAAATAGCACTAATAAAGTTAGAAATCTTAATATCTTGGCATTTTATTTTAACAATCTTCCGAAACAAAGTTTTTCATATTATGTAGTAGTAAAAGGAAAAATACCTGGAATCTATTCTAAATGGATTTCCGTTATAGAAAAAATAAATCATTTTCGTAATCCTTTATGAAAAGCATTTCATAGCATACATGAAGCACTAGAATTCGCTAGGCAGAATATAGGAACAACATTTTATGTAGATCCTAAGGCTAGCATGGATAGCATGAGGGCTCCAGTATATCAAAATACAGATGCCCCTAGTAGCAGTAGAAATTATTAATATGCATTAGAAAAAGATAACACAAATAGAATAGAATTTTGTAGACATTGCAAGAGCATGGAACAAGCTATTATAAGTTTAAATTTAAAGTGTGGAAATTTTGAAGAAGAAGACTTTTCTCAAAAAGAAAAAATAAAATCCTTAACTGAACAACTTAAAGAAATGTATAAGATCTCAAACTCACAAGGAGATACTATTCTCCCACAAATTTCTGAGATTGGGGAGCTCAAAGGAAGGCTGTCTTATACAGCATCTCATATGGCCAGTTCTTCATCCGGCCCAATAAAACAGCCAATTTTTGTAAAAGAAAAGCCCATTTCAGAAAGACCATTTGAATTTCTTAAGTCCAGAATATTCTTTAAACCATATCACCTACTTAGTTTCCTCCCTTTACATATCCAAGAAATTATTAGCCAAAAAGCCCAAGCCCAATATTATTCAAATGTCATCAAGAATTGGAAAAATCACTTCCAATGTCACTAGTCCGAGAATTCAAAATCAAATGGTGGATAGGATTCAATCAAGAATTTTGTGACCAAAAGAATATATTAAGATTCCTAGAGACTGGAGAAAAACTCAAATGGACCAATCCAAATCAGCAGTCAACCAAAGGAGTCAATTTCCCAACTACTCCACAGAAGAAAGAAAAAGAAAAAAGTTGCTCAACATCAGAAACAACGGCAAATGAATTTTTTATGAAGAAGATGATGCAAAATCCGGAGATGCTCAAAGAATACCTAAATTATTTGCAAAATCAAGACAAGAAAGAAGAAGACAAAAAAGATGAGTCAGCTGGATTGTCATCAGAATCAACTTTTGATCCATTTGGTGGTCCTTGTGCTCAAGACCCGACGGGCTTTTGATAAAGTTGTCGGCCAATTTTCAAGAAGATAAGATAAGAATCTCAAAAGAACCAATCAAAAGAAGATAAGGTGTCGGTAGAAAAAGCAAATGAAATTCAAATGAAAGTGTCGGCAATCAAATGAAGATGAAATTCAAAGACGGAAGTCTTTATAAATAGAACTCAAAATCATTTGTGGGGGACATCGAGTTTTGAGTCATCTGAAAATCTCTCTGTAAACCCCTACCTTCTCAGCTTTTATATTTCTTTGTATGCTCTTTTATTCAAGAAGATCAATAACAATTCGAAGTTTGATTTCATCTCAAAGGTTCTGCTATTTAAAGTTTTCATTGCAAAGACTACTCTGATATTCAAGTAAGGTTCATATACCCTACTCAATTTTATGACAATTTTATGCCTGGGTTGGTTCTGGTATCAGAGCCATACCGATGTTATATAAATACTACTGATTGTTTAGAATTATATCTTGTCTTAAAATTCTAATTTATGCATCCATATTAAATATATCATTTATGAATTTATCTTAGCATTGGTAAGACCTAAAAACCCTTGTAAGCCGGTTGGTAAGTCCAGGATAGGATGTTCCACGCATAGGATCGGTTGTTCCTGATAAGATAAAAAGATTAAATAAGATATTAAACATGGCCGCATTCCTTAGACAATTAAAGATAGGATCTAGTTCAAAACAACCAAGTATAGTTCAAAGTCATGAATATCATATGCCCGTAAATAATTCAGATTGGACCATTCCCGAAGAAAAAATAGAACATATTTATAGAATAGGACCCTTAGATTTCAAAACAGCTTTATCAGTTAAAACCCATGAGGAAACAATATCTATTCAAGAAGAATACCAATCAATTCCATTACTGAATCATAATACAATTCAAAAGTATCTTAGTAAATGATATAGATATATTCATATAGGCTTAATTCAAGTTGCGGTTAAACCATTATTCCATTTAGGAGTAGATGCACCTATATATTTAGCTTTAAGAGACACTAGACTCAAAAGATATAAAACATCACTTTTATCTATGATTCAAACAAATGTATGCAATGGACCCATTTATTTTAATTGTGCTCCAAATTTCTCAATAGATTTAACAGATCCACATGTTTTGAATTCAGTCATATTAGATATTCATTTACAAGGTGATGAATTTGAAAAACATACAAAGAATTTTGCTGTAATTTATAGAATGTATTATAGACCATTATCCTCACAACTGAATCCTAAATTTATTATGACTCCAACTTTAAAAGATGAAACAACACTATTACAAGTTGATGCTGACAGACCAACTACATATACTCCAAAAAGATTAAAATGGAATGAAATTACAATACCTAGTGAATTTATAATTCAGAATCCGCAAGCACCAAGAAGTATAGAGCAAACAAATCCAGAAGATATTATAGAAGAACCTGATGGAAAAGTTTTGCTAAGATTTTCTTCATTTAGGGAAAGACCTTCCACTTCAAGCCATTCTTGGATACCAGCTAGAAGATCTAGTTATGAATCCACGGATACAAATTTTCCTGTAGAAGGTACTTCAACATTCAAATTTAAAACTCCTGTTCCAGAGGTAATTAATCAAAATCAATCAGATTATTCTCCAACACACTCCCAGATGAAAGGAGAAATAAATGTAATAATTAAAGAATACAAAATAAATCATAAATATTTACAAGAAGATTTTGATGATGAAGAAAATATAGAAAAAAGAATTTGGTTTTCACAATTATCCTCTGAATGTAAAGAAAAATTAATATTAGAATGGAAAAATGAATTAGAAACAAGAAAGTTTGATTTTCCTTTCTTTACCTGGTTATCATTCTATATTTCAAAAATAGGAATAGATGATGTATATAATACTCCTCAAATAAATGTTCAAACTAATTTATATAAAAAATGAAAATTAAAAGACGATCAAGTAATAACGTCAATACATCCTCCATTACAAGAAGTAAAGATTAATATAGGACAAGGAGATATAATTGCATCCCCTTTCAAAAAAGACAGAGAAGTTGAGGCAAGTAGTAGTAGTAATAATATAAATTTAGACGACATTAAAAAATTATATCAGCAAAATAATTATATGAATCAAATTCTTCATACTATATCACAACATATAGAAGTAATAAGTACAAAGATAGATAGTATTCAGAAACCAGTAACAAAATTCCCTAATGATATTTCAGCACCTCATTTTCAACCTAGAAGTTTAACTAGAGAAAGGGAACAAGAATTAATTCAAAGTGTCAATACTCAAAGAATAAATAATACTGATAATATATTAAATAGAATATCTCAAACATTGCAAAGTTTAACAACAGAAGCCCAAACTCAAACTTCTAGAGTAAATACTTTAGATAGTGTAAAAAATAAAGAAATATCATCAGAAGAATCAAGTGAATCAGAAAGCGACGAAGATGTAATTTCACCAATAGAAGATCAATTTAAAGAAGAAGGAAATAATCAAATAAATAAAATAAGAAGAAGAAGAATTTATAATAAAAATAATAATAAAGAATGGAAAATGGTAAGTACAAAGAATTATTATCCAAGACCCAACCCTCCAGATATTCAATATGAAGAAAGATCAAAATTTCGTACCACTAAATATGATGGAGATTCAATATATGAATGGAATATAGATGGCAAAGCAGAATATGAAGTATTAAATAATTTACAAGAAATGGGAATGGCTAGACTAGCTTATAAAATTAAAAATATTCAAGAAAGAAATATTGCAACATTATTAGTTTCAGGATTTACTGGACAATTGAAAAATTGGTGGAATAATG